TTTGTGAGTTTCCCTATTCTTATCACTAAAATTTTATATTTATAATCAATTTTATAGGGTTCGAAGCTTTGGAGATTCGATGGAGCTGAAGAGCACATGGATCGAGAAGACATAAAAATGTTGGTGAAGAAGTGGTGGGAGATTTACGAAGATTCGAGTTTAGACTACAAGAATTTTGTCGAGACTGAGTCCAAGCTGAATCCGGTCACTGCAACCTTGGCTTCCAAGGAATCTGTTGGTGATGCCCTAACGAGCCTTGCCCCCTCTGCCGCATAACCAATCCTTTTATGTGGAGGTTATATCTATCCACGAGACAATTGTTAATAAACTGATTATTTAACCCGTATTAAACGGCATGTTAATGATATTTATAAATATTAATTCAAATTCGTCCGCCATATGAATCCGTTCCGAAATATAACCCGCTCCATAATTTCTTAACCCGTTCCTTGATTTGTTTTTATTTTAAAATTTAATAATTATTTATTATATATAAAAGTTTACAAATCATATTATTCTCTAAGATATTTATATTTTAATAAACTGAAGATTTAATCAGTATTAAAGCGGCATGTCAATGATATTTTAAAATTTTATAAATATTGATTCAAACTCGTCCACCATATAACTTCGTTCTGAAATATAACCCGTCCTATAACTTCTTAACTCGTCCCGTGATTTGTTTTCTAAAAGTAAGAATTTTTAAAATTTAACGATTATTTATTATATATAAAAGTTTACAAATTGTATCATTTTTAAGATATTTATATTTTATAGTTTACAATTGTTATTAAGTAACATTATACCATGGGACAATTTTTGGTTTTATACAATCTTTTTCAAATGAGACTGATTTAATATGTCTAATATTGGTGGTATTAAAAAAAAATTATGGATTTAATCCGTATTGAAGCGGCGGATTAATGATATTTTAATTTTTTTATTATTGTTGATTCAAAAACTCGTCCCGCCAAACCCGTCCCGCCAAAAAACTCATTTATTTTATTAATGTTGATACTATTATTTATGATATGATTCTGAATCATTGTCTAAATATTTTAATCGATGTAGTTAGTTGAACACACATTTTCGTCAATTGGATAATATATGTCATTTTTTAAAATTTCAAATCACAATATATACAGAAAAAAAAATCAAAAAAAATTTCGTTAATTTTTTTTACTTTATGTATTATATGATGATTCAAAACAGTTAAAATCAAATCAAATGAAGATGATAGGAAAATCATAATCTCTTATTTTCTCGCTAGGTGCTAGGTCCAATCCGAACGCCCGACTAGCGCCTAACGATTTTTTGAACTAGGGTTTTAACTAGTTAATTAATCAACCACTTGTACCGATGGATGTTATCTGTTTATTTTTTGTCCCAAAAGTGGAAGTTACACTTATAAATGTGCATGTCAATTACTAAAAAAGAATAATTCTTGACATATATTAACAAATACGACAACCAATATCAACATTCAATTTCATTGTTTTGGAATACAACAACTTTAAAAGCATATAAATAGTACTGTATCTCTAGACATAAATTGGTTATTTTTCAAATTTCTAAACATAAATTGGTTATTTTTCTAAAAAATATAAAAATAAAAATCCTACATTTTTCTTTTCCCAGCATATTCCGTATTCTTCCATCGGTATTAGTACTGTGAATTTATCTCTTTGGTTTCTGAGTTTCTGAAGAAGAAACCTCTTTCAAATTTAGGGTTTCTACAAAAAAGGTTCGATTTTTAACTTGAAGTTAGGGTTTTTATTTGTTTACTGTGAGTTATCAAGCTATGAGGTACTGTGGGAGTGGAATGCCTTCCATGGAGGAAGGTTGTGAATTCGAAATCTCTTACAGAATGGATCCGACATCTCTTCGTATTATGTCTACATGTATCTTAGAAGACATTCGGTACAAAGCTATTGTCGTGGCAAAACCTCCCAAGAATCCCAAATCTAGACGCAGTGTACTCTGTGTTCGGTTGCTTAAGGATGACTTTTCGACTCCTCTTAACGACCACACCTTCAAAGTCTTGCGTCGACCGATTCCGCCGACACATTCGCTAGATTGCATTCCTATCAAGATAGGCTGCATCGTTGAAGCTGATTATAAATATGCGTGGGTCACTGGTTTTGTGGTCAAAGAGATTGATGATTACAAGTGTTTGGTGTGTTTTTATTCACCACCTGATATTATTCACTTTGAGAGAAAGCTTTTGAGGCCTTATCTTGAGTGGCTTGGTGAGAGGAGAGACCCAGGTTGGTTCGGAACATCACGGCGTAATGAAAAGGTAAATCGGATTTTGGTCTGAAATTGGGGGCTTCTCAATTCTGTATCTTATTTGCCATTATTATTGAAATTTTTTGTTTTTTTCTAATGTTTTGGATACTTTGGTTGTGAAAGCATAATGAAAGACTTTTACTTTATTGGTAGTTCTTGAGGCTGTTGGCTGAGGAGCCTATGTTTAGTCCAGGAACAATGGTGGAAGTGAGTTCTAAGATTAATGAAACTGAAGTCGTTTGGCTTCCTGCAATGGTTATTGAAGAGTTTCAAAGCAGATGATAATGATAAGGATGATGATGATGATGATGATGATGATGATGATGATAGTAAGGATGATGATGATGATAAGGATGATGATGATAAGAATGATGGTGATAAGGATGACGATAAGGATGATGATGATGGTGATGATTCTGATGATGATGATGATAATGGTGATGATTCTGATGATGATGATGAGTATAAGTATATTGTCAGGGTCTGTGATAAGTCCTTGAGCTGCAAGAGTAGTAAGTCAGAACCCAACAGAATCGTTGATTTTCGTAGTCTTAGGCCTACACCGCCTTCTATTTCGGTTGATGAGTATCAATCGGAGGAATACGTAGAGGTGTTTCATGATGGTATGGGATGGCGTCAAGGACGAGTGATGGGAACTCTCTCTCAGAAATTGTTTACAGTGCTTTTAGAGGCTACAAAGAAGGAATTGGCATTCAAACACTCGGATCTTAGGCCTTTGAAGCTTTGGGAAAATGGCATTTGGAAGGTATATAACGTTTTCTTTTCACTGGTTTCAGTCAACACTAGAATATTGTTGATAATGACTAATCTGTCTGAATTGTTTGCAAGAATCTTAATAATATGAAACTGCCATTTCAGCTTCAGAGCTTTAGCAAAAGACTTGCTTCTTTGACTGCATTTCTTTGATGTGTAATGATGGTTTGCATAGGAAGTCTTTGTATTATTATCTTCCTGTTGTGGTTTTTAATCTGTGTTAGATGTTGCAGACAAGGGAATCGCCGTTAACTCAGAAATCAGGATATAAGATGAGTGATTCTGTGATGAATGGTAACACTCTTGAAAATTTAACGGATTCTCCAAATCCATTTTCAATTTCTGTATCATGAAAATTGATCTTATAATGTCCACTGTTTTCCAGCAAATGAATCTGATCCACCTGTAACTCCACCTCCGGGCATAACTATAACACCGTTGAAACAAGAAGAGGTTGAAACTCAAAGAAAGACATTCCCCAAGAAGACACTTCCAAGGAATCAGAATGGTTCAGGAAACGATTCAACACGAGAGAATGTAATGTTAATTCTTCACTTTAACATTATAATTCTCACTTTCTCTTTAGTTTGTTAGCTGGTGATTTATTATCTTAATCCTCATGACTGTTATTTATATGTTGAATGATATTTCACAGTTCACACTTGGGATTTTTAACTTCTATGCAGGAAAATATCGAAGATGTTAATCGAAAGAGGAAAAGAGAAGAAAACCTTTGTTCTGTTGCTAGTGCTGAGGAAGACAAAGCAAAGGATACAAGAATGGTTTTGCCCTTTGAGAAGAAGTTACGAATTTGGAAGACACTAGAATCAATGGAGGTGTTTAAAACAGTCCCACAAAGTCCTCATTTCAGCCCATTGGTGGAGAGTAGAGAAGATTCCCGTGAAATCTCTGCGGTTGGTATGATGCTTACCTTTTCTGGTTTACTTGATGAAGTCAAAGCTCTGCAACACGACGATCCCATAAGCTCATTCGATAGCCTTAATGATTCCTTTTCCAAGTTAGAGAAACACGGGCTCAATGTAAAAGTACCTCAGTTACGGCTCAATAAGCTGTTGTCTCTCAGAGATAGACAATCAAAGAAAACAGAGGAACTCAAAGGTGCCGAGAAAGTGACTGCAGAGAAAGAGAGCGTAAAGGCTGAGAACGAACGCAAGATTCTTGAGCTGCAGAGGCTGAATGAGGAGATGGACAAAGAGATAGCTCAAAGTAAGTCATGTGCAACAAAGATTGTCCAACAGCTTGATGATGTGAAGCTTGAGTTTAAGGCAACTGCATCAGCTCCATGGTAAATAAGTTTAATGACCTCTCTAAGCTAGTCTCTGTTTTGCACTTACGGATGATGAATGATGTCTAGTTTTGACTTAGCTTAATTAACTTCAGAAATGAAGAACCAACCACTTGTGTCTGAGTACTTTAAGTGAAGAGAAAAAAACAAAACAACTTTAGAAAAAGTAGGCGAAGTAAGAGTATTGCAAAGCTGTCCATTACATTGAAACATACGTCACATGTTCTCATCCTCTACCAAAAGCCACCACAAATACAAACTTTTGTCAATTGTCAATCAGAATCTCAATCAATATGCAATACCCATTTTCTTTTTTTTTATTCCCCACTAAATTATATATTTTCTATATCAAACTCTTTTCTTTTCTCGATCTCTTCTCTTCCTTATTCTTCAAGATCCCAGAGAGAACTCACCTATTGTGCCACTAATGGCTCAGGTATTTTTATTTTCTCAAATAATTCTAAAATTGAATATGATTAATCTCTCTCTCCTAAATGGTTTTACTTTGATTTTATACTTTTTATAGAAAGTGGTGTTGAAGGTTTTAACCATGACTGATGATAAGACCAAGCAGAAAGCCATAGAAGCTGCAGCTGATATCTTCGGTAATTATTATTTCTTCTTCTTTTCTTTAACTACTTTTGATTGCAACTCAATTCTTGTTTCTGGGTAGTTTTGGGTACTAATCTTAAACGATTATAGACTTTGTTAGGATTTGTTATAAAAAAAACGATTAAACCAGTTTCCTGCTGGGTTTTGTCACTCACTAAATTGCCATTTTTTAGCTAGAATTATATGGAACAATCGTTATGAAATCTGGCTCGATTGTATGTATAATTGCGTCAGAATCTCGAGAGCTTGGATTATTTGACCTTTTTGACACATAGTCAACGAGATGATATTCTTACATTTTGAAAGCCCATATTTTTTATGGGCCAAATAAATCATAGAGTAGTTTGGGCCTAGTTAAGACTGATTCGGTAAAGTCGAAAACGTTTATTATGGAGTGTAAATGTGATCTGCCTTGTAGATTTTGGGAATATAGCAACTATACGATTTCCATTAGACTTAAAACGATGATGATGTATGACCAAAGATGATACAATGTAGTTTATGCTAAGAGGATTGTGTTGAGCAGGAGTTGATTCTATAGCAGCGGATATGAAGGATCAAAAATTGACGGTGATCGGTTTGATGGATGCGGTTGCGGTGGTAAAGAAGTTGAAGAAGGTTGGTAAAGTCGATTTGATATCGGTTGGACCGGCGAAAGAGGAGAAGAAAGAAGAGAAGAAGGAAGAGAAGAAAGAGGAAAAGAAAGAGGAGAAGAAAGAAGAGAAGAAGGAAGAAGAACCTAAGAAATAAGTAACTCGATTGCTATTGAAACCCTAAATTTTTGTCATCTTGATTTCATAATTATAACGCTAAATCATTGAATAATATAATATGTACAATTAATTGTTCAATATATTGTAATAAAAACTAAGTATTGAAACTTTAATTCTTTAGGGAACACAACCAAACTAGTACATGTTTACTATTTTAAGCACAATAAACTGCAAAACGTATCAAAAACAACAACTGCAAAAAACTATAAACGCAAATTCATATACTAAACCAAAAACAAAAACGTGATGACTATCATAAATTACGTACTACCGTTTGACATATGTAAAAGAGATGTTCCATAATAAATGTGAAACTTTTAACAAATTCATTGCAATTGGTGTAGTGTATACATAACTGCGTAATCACAAGACTCGATCAAGATTTAATTAAACATTGGATTAATTATTTTATTTTTTTTGTCAAAGAACATTGGATTAATTTCTTACGCGTAAAAATACTATCATACAGTGAATTTCTCTGAAGACATCTCCTTCTACATATTTAACATTCATAATTCCTTCTACTGTTTCGTGAAATGTTAACAATATTGGTTAAACGGAGAAAGTAACTGAGCACTTCCGGGTAAAACATTCTTGTTGGACTCTTAATTTTTAACGAGTAATATGTATAGATTTTGGGGTCCCAAACAATAAAAAAAAAAAAACTTATTTATAGATTAAGTCCTTAAACCGTAATTGTTTGTGGCCTTATAAATTATAGGGCTATGTAACTTAAATTATAAATGGACGAATAATATAGGAAACAAAAAAAATGCAAAGTTATCAAAATATCTCTCATGGACGGAAAATGTCAAGTTTTAATTTTTTTTTGGTCGTGATTTATTATTAATTGCAAATTATGAGAATTGTTACATAGACGATTCTACAACTGACAATTCCTTCAGACCCTTACTAGATCCACTACAGACTATACTTCCTTCTTCGTGATCTTGATGAATACTTTCAATGATCCACGACCTGACGACACTTTCTTTTCTGCATAGAATCCTGGCGAACAGCTATAATTATACATCGTTGGAGATCTCTTACACACTTGCCTCCGTTAATCTGCAAATTTGTTAATAACTCATAATATTTGGGACTCAAACCCCAGACCTTTTGGTGTAGAAGCATTAATCAACATTTGGTCAACCAATAGGTCAAATGGGCTTCCACAAGTCAAGTTTTAATTAGTAACCAAATCGTTTAAAAGATTCTTTTTAAAAAATTATTATAAGGAAAAAGGAACAACAATGACTTTTCAACCACAAATAATAATAACATTAACGATTATTTGTAACCTTCTTCTTTTAGCTACCTTTCAGTTATAGAATCATTCATTATACATTATATTCCGGATTTAGTATATACTAATATATTTGATTACTGTATATGGATTCATTCACTCGACTTTAAAAATTTACATAAACGATCAAACTTTACGGTTTCGATAAGAAACAAGATTCGCGTAAAGAAATGTTACAAGTTATAAAGAGTTTCTTTTAGGTTAGGGCTATCTATATAATTAAGTAACGTAACGTAAGTATCCTATCTTTATTTTCTCAGTATTTATTTATCTAACCTTTTTGTTAACCTCATATATATGACGTCCTTTAACCCAAAAAAATATATGACGTCATGGGAGTTGGTGATTCATTGGTCGCCTAAAGAAGTAGGAAAAACTACAACAACCCAAAACAAAAAAAAAAAGAACATAACTAATAAAAATACATAATTTGTGGTTCCCATTTATCCGGTTTATTAGATGCTATTTTTGAAATTCTACATAGAATACGACCCGGTTGGATGACATTTGTGCTGAGTAGCGAACCGGTTATACTCCCTAATTATGGTTCCGTGTAAGTGTTTCTAAGGTCCACTTAAAACAACATTCGAAGGAACCCACTCCAATGAGTACAAAAACTTATAAGAAATTATGTAGCAGTAGAACCATTTCGTAACGATAGCTACATGTTAAATATTAAATTAAGAAAAATTAAATGAGAATTATGGGGTTGAATTGTAATTATAAATAACAAGTGGATTGTTTTTATAAATTATCTAAAGATTAATGATCATTGAATCATTGATAATCGGGCATCAATGATACTAAAAAAAAGAAGAAAATCAAATATATAAAGAAAGAAGGCGAGTCATTTTATGACAACGAGAAACAGAACATCATCACTACCAAACATTTTCCAGCTCAGTTTCTTGAACATACAGCAGTTAATCTCTCTAGAACAATTTTTTTTGTTTCCTCTCTCTTAAATAACCAAGAGTTGAGGATCATTCTGATTCTCTTGTAACCTTTAGTTGTTGTACCTGACGTTATGGCTGAAGAGGAACCAAAGAAGGTGACAGAGACCGTGTCAGAACCAACTCCAACACCGGAAGTTCCGGTTGAGAAACCTGTTGCTGCGGGAGATGTTATTCCTCAGGAGAAACCTGTTGTTGCTCCTCAAGAGAAGCCTGTGGCTCCACCTCCCGTTCTTCCATCTCCGGCGCCGGCGGAGGAGAAGCTAGGGGACTCCAAGGCTCTTGTTCCCGTTGTCGCTAGTAATTACTATCTTATTTTTCAACATAATTAATGATTATATATTACTCAAGTTGGCTCAATGATCATGCAAAAACTTTTGCCAAAATATTTTTCTATTAATTAACTGATCAGAGTCGTCATATATACCTGATTTTCTTAAAGATTATTACTGATAACGTTTCATCTTTTATATTTCAAGATTCAAAACAAAAAGTTTTATATTTTTTTTTATATATTGAAAAATGAACAAGTTTCAAATTTTTGAATTTATGTCAGTTTTAAGGTTGAACAAGAAGAACTCAAAGATTTTTGTTCTTCTCTAATGTGTTGTTACTTTTCTTTATCAATACTTACAATTTTTTTTGTGTGTGGCAGAGGAAGTAGAGGAAGAGAAGAAAGAAGGATCAGTTCATCGAGGTAATTAACGAAATAGATACAAGACTAATAAAATATGGAAATTAAAGGATCGTTGATGTAATTTAATTAGTGTTTTTGTCATATCGGGGAATAATTAATTAGGTGGTTTGGGTGCCGTTTTATCATGAGATGTGTATACAAAGTAAAAACTGAAAGCTGGTTTAATATTCATTAATTTTGGTTGATATAAAGGTTAAATATGGACATGTGTGTTTATCATTCTTATTTCCCACATATTATGATTAGTGATTGTATTTGCTTAATAATTTTGGGAGTGAAGATGCTGTTCTGGCTAGAGTTGAGACAGAGAAGAGGATGTCACTTATCAAAGCTTGGGAAGAGGCTGAGAAATGCAAAGTGGAGAACAAGTAAACTTTTATATTAGTATTTGGTAAAATTTTGCAATTAAACCAAGATATTATCATTAAGGTCTTGGAGGATATGTTTTGACACAGAGCTGAGAAGAAGCTTTCTTCAATTGGGTCATGGGAGAACAACAAGAAAGCAGCTGTGGAAGCTGAGCTCAAGAAAATGGAGGTATGCATGTTTTACATTCAGAATTAGTAGTTTTCTTTGCAATTAATATTTTACATATTTAGTCAGAAATTTTGAGACATATCTGATTTAGCCTAACTTTTTAAATTGTGGACTTGACATCAGGAGCATTTGGAGAAGAAGAAGGCAGAGTATGTGGAGCTGATGAAAAACAAAATAGCTCAAATTCACAAGGAAGCTGAAGAAAAGAGAGCGATGATCGAAGCTAAGCGTGGAGAAGAAATTCTCAAAGCCGAGGAATTAGCTGCCAAATATCGTGCCACTGGAACCGCTCCCAAAAAGCTTTTTGGATGCATATGATCTAATCATCTCGAATGGGAAACACATGAATATGGTGTTGATGTAATGACGTTTTTAGTTTGCTAAATATGGGTTTAATTTGGCAACATAGAAAATTATAAGGTCATATGCAAACATTACATATTGATTGGGGTGCGTTTGTTAATTTAATATTGTATTTGTACAACTCTTTTCATTGAAAGTTTTTTTCTTAGCTTTATGAATTGGTAAGTACAATAATGTTTATATTTTTCTTCATGGCGTAATTTATGATCGCATCACCCGGCCCCTTATCATAAATGCGGTAGTAAGTGGTCCGATATGTAAAAACGAGAACAAGGTCCCATAATTTCAAATGTTTGCATGCATCATACAAAGTTATGCTCAACCAAATCAATGTAACATAAAAAAAAAACTCAAATATCACTGAAAAAAATATGTTGTAGCCACGAACGAGCCATCACATAACATTATTTTAGAAAGTTATGTGATCAAAAATGAAAACCATTTATCCACTATTTGACATTGGTGGTGGTCAGTTGTATCAACATGACCATAAAATAGCCACCAATGTAAATTACGGCCCATAAAGTAAAGGGCCCAAACCCAAATAAAGAGAGATCTTCGAAACTAGGGTTTCTTGCGGAGCTTCACTAGTTGAGATTTCTCTGTCTCTTTCCTTTGCCTCTCGCATTTTCGACATCCTTTTGCCGCAGAGCTCCGTGGAGAGCAGCAATCAGTAGCCATGGCTGAGCAGGTTCATTTTTGTTCCTTTGTGTTCATTTCTACACTCTCTTAGATACTCCTTTTTGCGATTCTCATTCTCTTCTTTCTTTTGCAGACTGAGAAAGCTTTTCTTAAGCAACCCAAAGTCTTCCTAAGGTAAATTCATCAGAACAAATCTGAGAATCGATTCATATGATTGACGTTTTTGTGTGTGTGATTCAGCTCGAAGACATCTGGGAAAGGAAAGAGACCTGGAAAGGGTGGAAACCGTTTCTGGAAGAACATTGGGTTGGGTTTCAAGACTCCTCGTGAAGCCATTGAAGGTTTGCTTTTCGTCTGTTTCTTCTGATTACTCTTCAATGAGAAACTCTAAATAGTTGATTTAGTGTTATGAATTAGGTGATTAACAGTATGATCTAAGGTTTTTCTATTTAGAAATCTGCATTTATCTCTTTCATAATCATAGATTTTGTTTTTGGTATCGAGCTGAATATATCACTGAGTGCTTGCTTTGATGAGATTTGAAGCAAAACCAAATAATTTGAGACATGTTTCGTAATCTTGATTTGTTGAACAGGAGCTTACATTGACAGTAAATGTCCATTCACTGGAACTGTTTCTATCAGAGGTCGTATCTTAGCTGGTACTTGCCACAGTGCCAAGATGCAGAGAACCATCATTGTTCGTAGGAATTACCTTCACTTTGTGAAGAAGTATCAAAGGTATGAACATTGTGAATCTTTGTTCTTGATAGACAGTCCAAAGATTTAACATCTGTGCTAAAAAACATTCTTAAATTTTTCATCAGATATGAGAAGAGACATTCCAATATCCCTGCCCATGTCTCACCGTGCTTCCGTGTCAAGGAGGGTGACCATGTCATCATTGGCCAATGCAGGTGAATATTGTGTTCTTTTTTTTATTTAGGCAATGCGGGGAAAACGATATCTGATTGTTTGTGATTTATATTGCAGGCCGTTGTCCAAGACAGTCAGGTTCAATGTGTTGAAGGTGATCCCAGCTGGCGCATCCGCCTTTGGTAAGAAGGCCTTCACTGGAGTGTAAGGGTTTTGAGAGAATCTGGAGATTTTGGTTTGATTTTGGAATGTTTTAATGTTTTGTTTGATGATCCCTTTTCTTGGAGACTTTGATTATCACAGACGTAATACAAATCTACGCACTTTTCGTTGACTAACTCTACTACATTCAACTCTTGAAATTTGCTATCTCTCGAAATCACTTAATTGTCTACTTTAGTAAAGATGGTTGGGTACATGTAGAAGTTTTATGACTTAAGGACAAAAGTTGTGATTTGTGAACTTGTTTAGTTGAGTATAATGAATTCTTCTATTCTTTAGGAAAAAAAAGTGTATTTATTTGTGTTCGTTTGGAAATACTATTTCACCATAAGAACACATTGCATTCAAAATCTATAATATTGTTAAAGTTGGGATTCTCCATGCTTAAGCAGCCAAGCACCACCTCTTTGATCTATGAAATAGCTTTTGATCATAACATTAGTCCACCATGAGCTTTTAGGTTTCCTAACCCACCTAAAATGTTGTGATCTTGATGAAGACAACAAGACATTGAAATGGTAATGCCGGCGAAAACTTATCTATGATCGCTCTTGATCTCCGATTTGTGGCTGCTGGCGAATCTCAGCCTCAAGACTACTCTCCAGAACGTCTAATTATTTATGGTTTGTAAGATCGAATTCGGCTGTGTGTTGTATCATATTTGTTTGTCTGTCTTGAATTGCTCTCACTGCCAGTTTTGTGTTGTTTGCTCCGTTGTCACAATCGGCATATATATTGTTGTTTACTTTTTCTTGGCAAAACTATACAATTGTATTTTCTTTATGCGCTTGAATACAAATTGTGAACGCTGCCAAAAGAAAGAATACGAATAGTGAATTACAATTATACGAAGAAAGGCGTTACACGTTTGCCTACTATTAGCAAGTAGTTTTGTGTTGGTGTTGTGTTCATTGATATTTAGTGGATAGTGATATATCTAGGAATTAGGAAGTGTACAATTATTATATGGCGTCTAGAAATTCTTGAATTAGATTTGAGTTTTTGTTTATATACTATATGCTTATCTTATTTTTTTCCTTTTACATCTTTGGATTGACAATACCCGATTCATAACCAATCTCTATTACACAGGTAACACGACTTAGTGAAGTCGAATTACGGTGGAAAATGTGAAGTCAAATAGACTTAACTACTAAATAGACATCCCATATATGCCTATATCTAGTAAATGTAGATTAGTATATTCTCTTATGCACTTAATTATTATTTGGGATCAACAAATGCATGAATTAAGCATTTAGGAGGACAAATCTAAATTATTAGAACTCTTTTAGTCTTTCCAAAGGTGATAAAACCATCATTGTGGCAAGATCCGAAGCACCCATGAATATATGATTCTTTTAAGAAATGTAGTGAAAAATTTGTGTTGTTATAAACTTTAAAACGATTTCAGTCTTGAGGTTTAGGATTCAACCAAGAAGAACATGGCCTTTTTCTATCTTTTTTTGTTTTTTCGCTAAAAGCATGGATATTTCTTCTTCTTGCAGATAAGTAGAATTAAACAAGAGATTAACTCTGATTAAAAAACAAGAATCAAATACTAATAACATTCGACTTAGGCTTTTCCCATTTTCATCAATCATGAATTCATGATGTCAGTTTTTTTCTATTGTGAAGCCCCAAAAAAGCAAAATAACTAATCTCGTGATATATATATATACCACTAAATTTATTATATAGTATCTACCAACAAACTTGTAGCGACTAGCTACTTTTGTGATCAAACTTGAAGAAAGTTATTCCCAAATATCGTATAAGAAATAGGGATAGAAAATTTGTGGATTAAAAACTAAAAAAAAGTTCTGGTAACAAAAAAAAAAAACATAGAACAAGTAAAAAAAAATCCATTATAAAAGAAAAAAAAAAAACAGATCAAATGCTCTCACAACTCAATAAAAAATCATCTCAAATAGGAAAATAAATTTGAAAACAAAAATTAAGAAGCATCATCATCATCATCATCATAGATTTATAATTCATAAAATATAGTGTAATGATAAATTAAGAAGAATACTATGGTTTTCTTTTGCCCACGTAAACCTGTAATACTCCGTCAGATCCTCCAGCCACTAGGGTGCACTGGTCCACACCTGATTGCCTCCAACAGACGCTACTGACGAACCGCTTATCCGAACCAGAATTCATACCAACCGGTTCAAACCCATCTACCCAAACCGGCTTCCCCCATCTCCTATCGTACACAAACACCCTGTTGTTTTCTGATCCGCAACCAAACAACGCGCCGTTTCTCCACACAGATAACCCCACGAAGTTCCGATTATTCACGTGCCCTTCGTACGTGCGAATCACGCGCCCGTCCTCCACGCTCCACAACTTCAAACAACCGTCCGTACCTGCCGTCACCACCGTACAACCGTCGAGGAACCTCACATACGACACCGTTTTAGTATGACCTTGTAAAGTCAACGCCGGGTCAACGAGTTTCCTTATATCGTACACGTACCCTTTCCGATCAGCGCATCCGACGGCCACGGTTGGTCCACCGGAAGGATCAAACTCGACGCAACAAACGGCGCTCCTGCAAATTCCCGACGGTCGTACAACGCTGACAGATTCCTCCGGAGGACACCTCGGATCCCATACTTGCATAGTCCCGTCGTCCGATCCCGACGCTCCCACCGCGGAAGCATCGCCGTGGCGAGTGTAATCCACGCTCCATACGCGACGGCCACCGTGCTCGTCCCTTTCGAATACCGGCGTCCTCTTCTCGAGATCGTACTCAGTCACTACGCCGTCGTAATCTCCTGACCCGATGACCCGACTGCCCGACCCGGGTCTCCACCGGAGACTACTAAGCTTCGCCGGCGTGCAGATGTAATACTCGCAGGCGGTGGCTTGATCGACGAAGGAAACTCCGGTGCCGGAGACGGCGTTGGTACGTAAAAGAGAAGGGAGGCCGTAAAAACGAATCTTTCTTGATATCCCAGCGGTAGCGACGATGTTATCAGTGGGATCGAATTCAATAGCTCCGATAACGTCGGAGGCGGAGGAGGAGGAGGAAGAGACGACGGTGGAGAGAGAAAGATCCCATTCATGTTTAGCTTCTTCTTCTTGTTCTTGTTGCTGCTTGTGAGGATGAAGAGTGTTCATATGAAAACAGAGTAATGACTGTTGCTTCTGAGGATTCGGACCAATCGAAAACCAATCCCATTCAAAAGAATTTTTTTATTAATAGTTTAATACAATGAAATATGGCTTTTTGTTTTCCCTCAGTAAATAATTGGCTTTATTTACCAATCCACGCATGATTTTTTTATTTTATGAGTTTATCCATTTCTATGCAATGTCAGAGAAAGGTCCCATGGAATTCTATTTCAGGCAAGAAAGTGTGAAGTTTGTTGTCGTGGCTACTTATATAGCCAAACATGGCAAATTCT